CTTTGTCATAAATACTTCTTTGAGATTTTAAGATAGAATCAAATTTTTCTTTACTCAAAGTAAATTTGGAAATCACATTTTCAAGATTACAAGCTTTTCTCTTTAAAACCTCATTTTCCTTCTTTAAATCTTCATTTCCTTTCTTTAAATCCTCATTTTCCTTTTTCAAAGCATTATTATACTCCTCATTCTTTAAAGAAGCAACCTCACCATTTAAAGAGGCATTCTCTTTACCTAAAACCTCATTTTGTTTTGAAAGAGATTCAATCTCATTCCTAAGCAATGAAATGGTTTTAGTAAGAGCAATATTCTCATTTCCTAGTTTCTTAATGTCATTCATAAAGCAATCGAGAACTTTGCATAAATCATCATAGGAATACTCAAATGAACTTTTATTAATTAAACTAGATAAGTTAGAGTTTACCTCCTCATCATTGTAGCTATCCTCTTGAGCCATGAAGCAAAGATTTGCAACACCATTTTCCAAGGAGCTTTCACTTTCCGTTGAGCTAGTCTCATCATCGCTCCAAGTAGCGGTAAAAGCTTTCTTCTTCATGCTCTTCTTGTTTTTCCTTTCACCCTTCTTCAATTTGGGACATTCATTTCTACAGTGCCCCATCTTGTTGCACTCATAGCATTTCACACTCCTTTTGGTAGACTCTTTTTCATCTCTTGTTGCAAGCTTGCTCTTGATGTTCTTCTTCATGAATCTCTTCACTTCCTTTGAAATCAATTTGGTGATGTCCTCCTCATTGCTAGACTCATCATTATTGGCATCATCTTCACTCTCTTCCTTTTGGTTGCTAGCCCTGAAAGCAACATTCTTCTTCTTCTTCTCAACTACTTCAACTCCACCATCAACTTGAACTTCTATCTCATATGTCATCAATTTTCCAATGAGATCTTCAAGCTTGAGGGTGTTGAGATCCTTAGACTCTTCAATTGCAAACTTCTTGGCTTCCCAATTCTTGGGCAAGCTTCTAAGAACCTTCCTCACTACTTGAGAAGGATATACTTTACCAAGAGCCTTGAGATTGGTGACTATATCATTCAATCTTGTATACATATATTGAATGCTCTCCTCCGGTTTCATCTTGAAAAGCTTATACATGTAAATGAGTCTATTGATTTTTGACTCCTTCACTTGGCTTGTTTATTCATGTGTTACCTCCAACATGTCCCACATCTCCTTGGCCGTATCACATCCGGATACTCTATAGAATTCCGTTGGATTGAGAGCATATTGAAGCATATTGATTGCTTTGTTGTTGATCATGATCTTCACCAAGTCTTCATCATTCCATTCAACTTCTTCCTTTGGCACCTCACTTTCCCCAACTACTTTCATAGGCACATATGGACCTTTCATAGTCACAATCCATGCCTTGGGCACATTTGCAAGCATGAAGACCTTCATCCTATTCTTCCAATAATTATAATTAGTACCATCAAAGAAATGAGGCTTAATGGTAGACAAACCTTCAAGTGGTTGACAAGATTGAAATTGAGCCATCCCTGATCAACTCCTAGGTGGTTAAACCTTCAAATTGGAGCCCTTGCTCTGATACCAATTGTTGATTCAATGTACTCCAAGAGGGGG